CCCGGGACATCCTCTCTAGTTTAGGTCTGCGCCCGAGTGGTATGTGTGAGAAACGTGAAGCGAGTGTGTTGGTGTGCCTGTTTTGCCATTTTTTAAATATAGAACGACTGATTAGGATAGGTAGCTTACTTTCTGGTATGCCTGTGTTTAATTATAAGTAGGTAGGGCCGGGCAGGTTGGCACAGTTTCTGGTCGCGCGTCCCTTTTTCGCGTGTCCAACCTGTTTCTGGAAATGTAATTTGAGAAATCGACAGTGAAATTGGTACAAGTGGCGCAAGTGGCCACTTGTTTCTGATTGTACTCTTCGATTTTTCGAATTTAGTATCGCGGTCGCGGTCGCGGGTAGGTCGCGAATAGGTCCCGAAACGAACGTTTATATAGGTATTGCTCGAGCACGCACGTGCGAACGAATAACGATCATTATGATCGTTAGTCGTCCACGTGTATTGGGGTCAGCTTTCGCGATATTATTATTTCAACTTTATCTTTTGCGATTAGAAAGACTCGAGCTAGATGTAAATTTCAGCGGGCATTGCGCTCGAAGAAAGAAGAGGCTAGAAGCCGAAGAGGCCCGGCAAACTGCCACGAAGAGGGGCACAACGAATGATTTCTCATCCTATGGATTCAAATGATTCCAAAGCATGGGAAGTCATTTTTGTTACTATTTTGTCACTATGCTCTTTTAGTATTTGTAGTTTTTTTTTTTTTCTCCGTCATCGTTCATCATTGCTTTGGGCAAATCGCGATTTTTCTTATTAGTGCTGCGAGAGATCGATTACGGTTTAAATTAGAGTTGCGAATTACGATACCGTGATTGTCTTTAGCAATTTTGATTTGGATTTTTATAGTTATTTTAGTGTTATACATAATAAAATTTATCTTGCTTTTTATTGTTTTAAATAAAATTAATTAGAGTTACTGCTTTTAATTAGTTTTAGATTGTTAGAGTATTTGAAGCTTTTGTTCATACAGTTTTATATTATTCATAATAATTTTCATTGAATTTAATTGTAGAGTTAGTGTTGCGATAATGAATGAACGCGTTTCTTGAAGTAGCATTGCGCAAAATGTCCAAATTTTTCCCTCGGATTCGTGGAAGGCTGTCACTATTTCTGGCTCACCTGACGCAGCTACAAAAGCTGTTCAAAGGTGGCCGTACATATTTATTTTCAGGAATTTTAAATAT